GTGAAGAAAACTAAAATTTTGTCTGGTAGAATTAATTTGAATAAAATTTACATTTACTACCGGGGTGGTAGAAGTCCACCAAATGGCCACTTCAAAAAAATTGGTCACGTTATTAACCGAGAGGCTGGCTATCCCTAGACACACTCCAGCGATAACTAGTAGGTTTTTGATGAGTTGATAACCTGCAGAATTTTGATAAGCTAGGAAGATGGTTGTCTCTAGATACCTCTAATTGATAACCAACAGGGTTTTGACGAGTTGATATAGTGCAAAACTTTGATGAGCTGGAAAGAATGGCTGTTTCTAGATACCTCTCAGTAACATGATGGTGGGTGAGGTTTTCCGGGTTTTCCTCACCTGTAAGTCAAATGGCACCATCAATCATCCTTAAGTCGCCCCGGAGCGCCACGGCAAATAATAATAATAATAGCCGTCCCTTCCCCTACACAAGTCGTTCAGTCGACTTCAGGGGTTGAAATTCACTCGTAAGGGGGTTAATTAGGGAGAGTATTATTATTATTATATTATTATTATTATTATTATTATTATTAACAACCAGCATGTTTTTGACAAGTTGAGAGGCAATTCCTGTATATCCTTGGAGGACGTACAATATGAGGCCTAAGTGGGAGCCAGCAACCCATCCTACTCACCTTACACAGATAGCTTCTTAGATATAATACATTTAATGCAGTGGTCACATGGCAAATTATAGAAGGTGGAGACGTAAGCATTGATCTTGAAATAAAGGTCATTACTTCGAATAAACTTTATGTAATTTGGTTATTTTTCGATGTTATAAAGTATGAGTCGTGTTTCTTCACTTTTCGATATCTGAAAACATGCTTCAATTAATATATATTAAATTAAAAAAAATAATTTTTCTTACTACATTTTATGGAGTACCACGTACGGTCCTGTTGAATCATCAAAGAGTGTATTCGTGTTCTTGACGTCATATTTACCTGACAAAAATTGAATATCCGGTACATAATTAGACCACGGTGCTTGCTCGCAACCTATTAACAAAATGTTTCCTTTAACTAGGATGCTAGTTATTACCTACCTAGGCACAGCATTGTTACTTAAAAATGTTCATTCTGTACACCCCTTCATTATAATATATAACACAAATTAGGTGTTAGTACCTTGTTTTCACAAAAAAAAATAGCGGGATAAGTTCTTTAAAGGAATAGATTTGAAAATAGGAAATATTGAAGTACAGTCTGTTCGCTATATTTACGCGGGTTTCGGATTAAAAATTTTATGGGTATTTCCAGGTAAGTACCTGAAAGTTTGACCTGTTCTTTGGGGAAATATCAACTGGTTAAATGAAATGAAAAATAATGTACAACTTTTTAATTAAATAATAATGGAGAATCTTTTGTATAATTGAGAGCAGAATTAAACGTCTTCATTAATGGAGTCTAATGTGGCTATTATAAACCTAATAATAATTATTTTATATTACACTTCATACAGAAAATATGGTCTATGTATATTAAGGGTTATTTAGCTCAAATAAAATATTTTCTAACATAAAAATTTGTTCTATGTAGAGAATTTCAAACGAAAAATAAAAAAATTGAACTTGCCAACAAAAATGAAAATCAGTCATTATCATCCAAAATATCATAATCGTCATCATCATCACTGTCATCACCATTACGATTGGACTTATTTCGTTTATTTTATTTTCACGAGTCTGCCCATCTTCTATCTTCTATTAGTGTCTCGCACTTGGATATACAGTTCCGCCACACTTCTGGAGTTGCAATTGAAAGTGCTTTTCGCCAAGTTTTCCGAACTGCGTTGTCACTATACCCACTAGGCCCAATATGGTTGTCATAATATTGTTTTGCTATTCCCCATATATATTCGATGGGATTAAACTGGCAATGATACGATGGCAGACGTAACTTTCAATAATCTGATCCACAACAAAGATTTTTGGTTTTGCGTGTATATTTGCCAAGCGTAATAATTCTGATTTTAATATATATTGAGGAAATGGTATATGTTCCTTTGTCAACCATTCTTTAATTTTATCAACATTCGTTAGACTTTTGTTTAATACTTCAGAATGGTAAGGTGCATTGTCTAAAATAATTACGCTGGGCTCACCTAAACCTGGGAGAAGTTTTTCATGCAACCATTTTACAAACATTTCTGTGTTCATATTATCGTGATAGTCACTGGATTTTGATTTATATGAAAATATTAAATCAGCACCTTCTATAAAACCCGATTTCCCTCCTGCATGTAAAATTATGTGTCGCTTCCCTTCTCCATCGGAATGTTTGATGGACTTTACGTTATCATCTTGCCATATTCTCTTGGTTGCACCCCTAGAAAATATCCATGTTTCGTCTAAATACAGGGTGTTTCCGAACTTGGCGTCAAAATTTGTAAGGGTGGTAGTTCGCATAATTTGAGACCGATTCGCAGATTTCATTTTTCCAGAATATTAAAAATAAAAATAAATAAAAATAAATTAAAAATTTTTAACAGGTATGGTCCTGCACAGCGACGGGAGCGCCTCGACTCGCGCGCGCTACGCTCAGGGCTCTTTCAGACGAGGATACTGTATGCGAGATACGCGTATCCGAGATTCAGGCTGACCATACATTCAAATGGGCCTATTTACACGGTACGGGCGACGCATACAGTATCGCGATACGCAATTTCTGTATCCCAGCACCTTCAGCCGCGGACGCTGAATGCGTATGCCGCATACAGAATTACTATTACGATATATGGACCTTTTCAGACATGGATACTTTTGCAACGGAGATTATATCATAGGCGCAGGATTTTTCAATGGTAGACAGGCATCCTGAATGCATTTAGTTTGATAGTTTAATTTATTTGAGAAAGGATTAAATTAGATGCACGAAGAGTTTTTTTAAATTATTTCACGAATAAAAAATCAGCCTAAACTACAGAATTTTTATATTCTTTACCGTTTTTTCTACGCATGTTGTATGCCCAGTCTTTTAATATTAAAGTAATGTAGTGTTACACATAAAGTATGGGATTTTTCTTTCTAAATAATGCAGATACATTTTGACTTTACCATTTTTGGTTGCTTCAAAAATGATAACCAATAACATGCAAATGCAAAAGTGACTTTTGTAAATGTCAAAATTGACTTTTTTTTGTAAAAAAATGCAAAACCTATTCCTAAAAGTTACTTATTTTTCTCCCATATACCAATTTTTAACTTTTTTTATTTTTTCTAATAATTCATTTTAAGGTTACTAGAATTTACGCTAACCTGAATAAATTAATCTGTTTACGCGATGCGCTTCTTTTTTGCAATTTTTAGGAAAAAGGTCATTTTGACATTTAAAAAGGTCACGTGTTTATCCATTTGCATGTCATTCGTTATCATTTTTAAGGCAATAGAAGATGTCAAAGTCAAAATTCATCTACAGCATTTACAATAAAGCCTATACGATGTGCATTTTATGTGAGTCACCGTATTATATACCTCAGTATAAATGCACTCTTCTAGATCCATAATTCAAACCTATGCACGCCACTGTGACTATTTTAGTACTGATTGAAGAGATGCGTGAATTCGATACAGCAACCCAAGTCTTCGACTGTGATTCTGTATCTCGGATACGATACGCGTATCTGGCATACAGTATCTTCGTGTGAAAGAGGGCTTAGAATCGACAAAATTGCAAATCGCATCTGTTTTTGAGATGTAAATCCCGATGAGTAACTGATCAAGTGACTATTGCGCTACGAGCTCAGGGTACGATTCGGTCTTTGATTTTTTTTATAATGGCTCTATTTTATTTATTATAATTTTTTTAGAGAAATGAAATCTGCCAATCTCTCTCAAATTATGCGAACAAATTTGGAAACGCCCTGTATATAAAATTCGCCCCTTCTTTAAATTTAGAATATTTTCTTAGAAAGTTAATTCTCTTGTGCACGACAGAACTTCTTTCACAAAGGGCCTTTCTGTTATGCTCCTTTTGAAATTTGAAACCCAAGTTATGTATTACTTGCCATAGACTTGTTCTGCCAATGTCGTCAAATTTTCTATCTATTAATTCAGAGATAATTGTATTTGAGGTCACATGTTCCTTGTTGGCCCTCATTCGATAAATGGTATCACGAATTTCAAATTTCTTTCCATCTGGAATATCTTTCGTTTTCAATGATGGGCGAGTTTTGCGGTGATCTTTTTTCGGCAGTTCACTATTGTGATTTTGTAATACTCCTCTTAATTTGGTTTCACTAATTCCTAGAGCATCGTATACGCGTTGTTGTACAGACATTACCCATTTTAAAGGATCGCCATTTTCATTTTCATGTACACTACCAATTAGACTATCTACATCTAACACAAGTCTAGGCATTTTTAAAATTTCCACTAAATTTACAATATACATACAATGTCAACACTTGCAAAGAATCAATTCAACTGCAATATTTGTACCTACCATAATGTTATTTTAATTTAAATCTGACAATTAGGGCAATATTACCTAATTTCTTGGGGAAAGGCTTATTGGAACTGGTTGTCAATGACTAATTTGCATAATTTTGTTAATCCGAAACCCGCGTAAGTATAACAAACAGACTGTACCTATGTTCTTCTCATTGTTAGAATAAAAAGAAAATGTATTGTATTTTGCATAGATCGGTCAACAATCCTTTACTAAAGAAGTTAGAAGTTTATCGAAACTTTTTACTTTGTACTACATATATACAAACACTGAATCCCTTTATATTGAAGCTGTAGAGTAGACTCTTATATAATGCAACCTTATTTTCTGAAATTATCAGTAGTAATATTCCAAGTGGGATAAGACTATTCTACTGGGGTACAGAAAATAACTATTCCAGAATTTATAATTACACCTCTCAACTATTAAGGTATTAGATAATATCGAATTATTAAAAGTACATTTTTTATGCGAGCATTTTCTGGATTAATAGATTTTCCATTGTGATTTAAATGAATTCTTTTTTCGTAGGTTCTGAAGGCGGAAGTGCCAGCCAAGTAGGGTCAGAAGCAAGTTTCGGTCTAAGAAGGGGAAAATGCAAATGGTTCAATGTTGCCAAGGGATGGGGATTCATCACGCCAGACGACGGTGGTCAAGATGTTTTTGTGCATCAGGTGAGCTCGACAGGATTAGACTTTCGATTAAGTACCTTGTTAATTACTATTATACCCTCGGGCATTTAAACTATTTTAAAGTAAATAATTTCCAATTAAATCATAAGAGGGTAATTTTTTATAAGGAAAATTTGTGGAAACAGTTTATTATACTTAGAAATATGATAAGGGCAGAGGGCATACGTCCGATTATGCCCATATAAAAAATGAAGGACAATAACATTAAATGAATTTAAGATAGGTTTATAAAATAGGTCTTCAAACTTTCTTATTAAAAAAACGAGCTATCCAAACCGAGATCCAAACGCTCTAGTTCAATGTAGGGGACAGCCGAATGAATAACCCACCAACAATTAAAGTATACTTGTTGCTTTAGACCTGTTCGTTAGGTTGGTAAAAAACGGGAAAAAAAGCGAGGGTAAAACACAATGGGTCTAAGTACCTGTCTATTATAGCGAACGATTGGCTCTTATTATACACACACATATTTTTTTTTTTTGTTGGAATACCTGATTTATTGGAACGAGTTTGTGGTAAATGCAGATGTCCCAAATGGGCATATTCCTTGGATGGAGGAGAGGGGGTTGGAATTTTTAAATATTTGGAACGAGTGGGTTATTAAATTGATAGATATATAGGGGAGGGAAGTTAATCTTTTTTTCATTCTCAAATTATTATCAAAATACCTAATAACTTCTGATGGTTTTCCGCATCAAATGCCTTGGCCAGGTCCAATGTAGCTTTTACTATGAAGATGTTGCAAGTAATAACACATTCAATTGCGTCTGCTATAGACTTATGAGTTCCAAAACCAAACTGATTTAATATTTACTAATTTATTTTTTTCTAAAATGCCATAATCTTTTTTTTTTTTGATTATTTTTAAATAATGTTACCAGTGTAGTTATTACCGAAATTGGTACCTTTCATCTCCTTTCTTAAGTAAGGGTTTATTAATTATAGCAGTTTTAAAATGATTTCATAAAATACCAGTTTAGAAAGTTTTATTAATTAGAAATATTGTATAGGTTTATTTATATAATTATACCACCATTATATTAAAATTAATTTGAAAAAGCTATAAATTCTGTTTTATCTTTAATAAACCATCATAACTTAAACTAGGTATATTTTAATGTGAATTCTAACATGAAAAAAGTAGGTAGAAAATCAAACGTTCTTTTTAACCACTAACAATGTACTAATTTTCTATTTCATCTTTTTGACATACATCCTTGACCTGATTTGAACAGAATTGAATCATTAGAACTTATCCTTGATTTATTTAAAGAATCTATTATATGACACTGGAAATAAAAAAGAAAATCTACTCTACCATGAAATCTAGTTTTGCGTACATAACAATTGGATGTGCATATATATGAATGATCTGATTACATGTTTATTAAATTGTATTGTAGTTATTCATATTACAATCTTATATCAAAGCAAAAATTCGTTAAGTGCTGCTTTGTCATTTTGTTTAGTAAAGAAACAAGTTTTTACAGCTTTCTCAAAAAGAAAACTAAAGAACGTAAATATCGATGCAGAAGAAATAGAAATGTAATAGGAACTCGAATAGGAAGTAACAACATTTTAGTTTAATAAGAGATCTTCAGGAGTCATACCTAAATATTGTCCATATAAATTAGTGTATAAGTAATTCATATATTATTTTGAGTATACATAAATTAGGTCATATAATAAATTAGCATCTTATTGTTAGTGTTAATAAATTAAATAAATAAAAGTTATAATTTAATCTCCGATCAATAGTGCTTTGGTTTCTTTTTGCTTTAATTCTTGAAATGCTTCAATATCCATTTTTGTACGTTTGCAAAACATGTCCTTAATATACAGGGTGTCTGTAAAAGGTCTTTACAAAAACATACCACATATTCCTTAGACCAAAATAAGTCGATTTAAGTAAAATTACCTTAGTACAAAGTTGCTTCGTTTGGGCTCCAGAGGCGTAGAACTAGATTTTTTAAATAATTGCACCTTTAAAACTTCTACGCCAATGAAAGAAAAGGAGTTAAGAGTATGAAATTTAGATTGCGCAACTCATTTTCTTTAAAAAAAGTACTCTTGATAAGACTCGATTACTCTCATGGTTTTGACGAAATTTGCATTTTAGTAATTTTAGAACATAAACAATAATTATTAAAATACAAACTTTGTCAAAATCATGAGAGTAAATGGAGTGTTATCAAGGGTACTTTTTTGTAGTAAATGAGTACCCAATCCAAATTTCATACTCAAATCCCTTTTTTGCCATTGGCGTAGAATTTTTAAAGATGCAATTATTTAAAAAATCAAGTTCTTCGCCTATGTATTATTATCGGACAAAATTTTATACGATGAAAAACATAAAAATGTACTTTTTCATATCTTCTTCAACACCTCTAATCGAGACTTTTACCAAAAATACTCGAAATACTCGATTTTTTGAGGAATATTAATTATTTGCCTGCAATACGTATACAAAAACATTTATTGTTGGTTTCCATAGTTTCATCTAAATAAAAATATTGTCAAGTTTTAATCTGTAGAAAATGAGGAACAACTCTGGCAACGTATTCAAGATGCAATAAACAATCTTAGAGGTGATGAAGAAGTTATGGAAAGGATATATTTTAATTTTCTTCGACGTATAAATCTTTGTATGCATGAAAATGAAAATTTTGAACAATTTTTGTAAAATCTTAATTTTGATTATGTTGTAAATAAATATTTTTGTGAAACCTATACACTCTAAATTATTAAAACAGAAATTTAGCGAAAACCATGAGAGTAATCGAGTCTTATCAAGAGTGCCTTTTTTAAAGTAAATGAGTTGCGCAATCTAAATTTCATACTGAAACTCCTTTACTTCCATTGGCGTAGAATTTTTAAAGGTGCAATTATTTAAAAAATCAAGTTCTACGCCTATGTATTATTATCGGACAAAATTTTAATACCATTTTTTTGCCACATAAAACTCTACCAATATACCAAATTTCAGCAAAATCGCATATGCCGTTTTAAATTTATATGGGAAAAACGATTTAAAAATTGTAACTTCAAGGCCCTCTGGAGCCCAAACGAAGCAACTTTGTACTAAGGTAATTTTACTTTAATCGACTTATTTTGGTCTAAGGAATATGTGGTATGTTTTTGTAAAGACCTTTTACAGGCACCCTGTATAACTTTGTCCCTTGAACATTTCAAGTTCCCACTTTTATTTTTGCGCTTCCTCTTTTTTGTTGGTAATCCCTTATCACTATCAGGGCCGCCGAGAGCCAGACCGGGCCCCAGGACAATTCTCCAGATCTGGTCCCGCGACAATTTCATAAAAAATTAAAAAAAAAAGGTCTTCAAACAAAGTTTTCTCCTCCTCTACTCTTGAATTTCTCTAAAAAGGTCTATAAGCAAAAAATTTCTCCTCCTTTACTTGAAAAAAAGGTCTTCAAGCAAACATTTTTCCTCCTCTACTTGAATTTCTCTAAAAAAAAGGACTTTAACCAAGAACAGGGGGAATGTTCTTGTGTCGAACTTCTGAAAGTAACAAAAAAATTCTCACCACGCTGCCGGGTCCCCATTTGAGCCCGAGCCCCGGGAATTAGTCCTGGCTGCCCCCCCTCTAGTTGGCCCTGATCACTATAACATTGTTTTTGTAAAAAGGATATTTTGGTTTCCATTTTAAAGATGTCGGAATTTGCTATAGTATAGGATTGAGCCTTTAGAGACTTTCAATAAATTTGACAGTGCTCCCGTTGTTTAAGAAAAATGCGGGGGTCCTATAAACAGTAAAATGATTTTATACTAGTTAAGTTTAATACTATAATATTATATCGATCCGTATGCAAACTTGTTACTATACACATTATAGTGTTAAATATTTCTTTTTATTTCTAGTTTGGTCTATTGCTACATTTTTTACTATTTAGTTGAAAAGCGTAATTTGCAGTTTTTACAAATAAAATTTAATTTTAAGTAGATTAGATTAGATTAGATTAGGAGTTGGACGTTATTTGTCCTTGTCCACCGCGACCTTTTCAGATCTATTGTGGGACTCCGTTTGTTTTAGAGTATGTCGTCTAGCCTGGTCTTTTTTATTAGACTTAGTAGCTTTGACAGTGGCTCCCGCATGTAGTTGCATGCAATTGGCTTTTCTTCGCCCAATGTTAGAAACCTCATTCCAGCCAAGCCTTCACATTGGCACAGGACGTGGAATGATGTTTCCTCTTCTTCTTCACAGAACCTGCACAAAGTTGCTTCTTCTGCTGGATTTATGACACTCATGTGCCTTTTGAGGCGACAGTGTCCAGTAAGAAGGCCTACTGTTATCCTAACGATTTGACGTTTTTGATCCAGTAGGTCTTTCGTAAACTTGGCCGATGGTTCCTTGATGAACTGTTTGGCCTGTCTCAGTCTTGGATAGTTGTTCCACCATTCCTAAGACTCTTTTTGCATCCATTGTTTAATGGATGCCTTGCACAATGCCTTAGCGACTCCACAAAAGGGTTCAGGGCCTGTCATGGCCTTATCTGAGCCTTCTCGGGCTAATTCGTCGGCCTTTTCGTTGCCCTGATATCCCTCATGGCCTGGAACCCAGGCTAAGGTCACCTTATTTTGACTACTTAGCTCTGTCAGGTCTTCTAGACAGTCTTTCACCAGTCGTGATTTGATTTCTGGTGAGAGAATTGCCTTGGCTATCAGAGTATATGGCAATAGTTTTGCCTGATACTTGCTGATTTAATATTTCTCTTGCACAGTGTTGTATGGCTATTAGCTCAGCCTGGAACACTGTTGCATATTTTCCTAAGCTTAGTGAAATCGTCGATTTCGACTTAGGTCCATAGATTCCAGCACCGGCTCCTTCCTTGGTTTTTGAACCGTCTGTGTACCAGACGAGTTCAGCCTGTACGGGAGGTCCCTGTTTCCAGGATTCTCGGGCTGGTATTTGAATTTGAAAATTTCTTTTAAATTTGTATGTGGTTATGGCTCTATCAGTAGGC